TTAATCACAGCTTTATCTAGAGTTTGTACTTCCTGTAATGCAATTCTATTGTAATGTAATTCTAATGTAATGATTCTAGTGACTTCATGGAATCAAACGATTTTTTATGTTCATCAGAAAAATGATTCCAAAGACTTTATTCTATCAATTCATGATGATTGTCCCTCCTTAGAAATTATCTGTATGGCATTAAGGTTGCTCTGAAGATGTACTGTTTAACCATTAGGTATTCACATTTATTATCAATAAAATTAAATCTGGTTGTCAGCAGACTGAAGTCCTTTTGGTAAATTAGCAGATTCCAAAAAAAGAATCCTTTTGTTTAAGTTCTTGTTATCACTTTGCAAAGTGTGTATGAGTCTTATTAATGTCTCATTTTTGGTGTTTTTATTAAACCAGCTTTTAAATGGCATGATATGAATTACTATGCTAACTGCCAATATGGTGAAAATTGTATACATCCCAGAATGGTCATCTATATATCATAAAATTTCATCCATAGTATAAACAAAGAAGTTTTTTATTTCCTGAATGGTTATATTATCTACATGGCATGAGAGAGACTTAAGATTTGTAAAGAAACTTTTTTTGTATATGTGTACTTATGTACTTATTCATTAATTTATCAGTTTAAGGTGTGAAGTTATCAATAATTTACCCCAGATAAGATCCTTGAGGGATTGTCCTAAGTGTCCAGCTGTGCCAGATATAATTAACCAGGTTGGGCAAATTTTGGGTGTAGTAGCGATATTCGGCCAGCAGGTGTCATGCTAAAGCAGGTCTGGCATGAGCTGACTCAGCTCCTGAATGAGCTGCTATGAATCAAATTCTTAAGCCAGGCGATCCCACCCGTGAGTAATGGGCAGAGAAAGCAGGATCACAACAAATGAGGCAATACATCGAACAGCTGGAAGCACTGCCTGGGACTCCTGCAGACAACTCTGAGGCTGGAGGTGCTGTGGTGCTGGCTGCATGCATGTGCCCGCAAAGGCGGCTGTGTACAAAATGGTGGCAGCGGCGGGTAGGAGCAGTTATTTCAAAAGATGTAGTTGACAGCAGCGACACCGAATTGTTTTAAAAGTAAAGAAACAGTGCCTTCAATGCCACTACCCACCCACGCAGTTGGTTAGGTCGGCGGGTGATGTGTCTAGTGCTCAGCTTTGATCCCTGGTATGGAATGCAGCTGTGCCATACAGCTGTGCTGGTCTGGCAAGTGCCAAAAGCGCCTGTTCTGGGAGGCCCGGCTAGCTCAGTGGGTAGAGCATGAGACTCTTAATCTCAGGGTAGTCGGTTTATGCTCCAGGTTGGGTGCCAGATAAAGCAAGAAATCCACGGAGTCTGCTTAAAAGGGCAAAGTGATCTATTAAGAAAGGAAAACTCATGAGACAGAACAGAGGAATTGTTGCAGGGTCCTAGAGAGGTGGGGCATGGTCCCACACTGTTCTTCCTCCTGAGATTGTCCCAGCTTCCAAGTCCCACCAGAGGGAGCAAAGAGTGGCCTACCTGTGTCTCAGGTCTCAAGGGTAGCCCTGGGCCATGCCCCAGGGGCAGGTACTTCAAAGTCATAGGTAGGTAAAACAGTTACCTGCTACATCTCTGGGGCAGTGATTCAGGGTCAAGACAGAACAGCTGTCCACTACAATTATATGCAAGTGTTCAAGCAGCTTGTTGAACAGTATTCTAGATTAATTGGATCAGCATGTGGATTAGAGAGGGGCCTACAGATATAAGACTCAGAATGCTTATTAAAGGAACAGACATTGGTATTAGCCAGGAGACCCATGAAGAGTTTTAAAACCTCCTGTTCCGTGACTCTGATGCCTGTTGTCTGAGTTCGATTCTTAAAGCACAGACAATTAGCATCTTGGCTCTTTTACCTGACTGAATTGGTATGCCTATTTGCCTCCCCCTTAGAGGGAAATATAGGTTCTAAAGTGTTATCTAGCAGCTACACTGAACTAGGCATGCCCTGTGCCCACACTCAAATGACATAAATATCTTGGTGTGTCTCTAACCAAGCAAGTAAGGGACTTGAATGATGAAAGCTTCAAGTGATTGAAGAAAATAGTTGACGAAGATATCAGGAGATATCCCACTCAAATAGATCAGTAGGAGTAACATAGTATACATCACCTTTCTACCAAAAGCAATCTACATATTCAGGGCAATCCAGATGAATATTCTTCACAGATCTGGAAAGGGCAATGTTCAGCTTCATATGGAAATACACACACACACACACACACACACACACACCAGGATAGCTAATAAAAGAAATAATTAAGAAAATGCCTTAAAAGTCTGCATACAACACCATCTTTTGGAGAATTTTTCTTAATTGAGATTCCCTCCTCTCAGATGACTTTAGTTTGTGTCAAGTTGACATAAAACTAGCCAGCACAAGGCATAATACATAGACATGGTGAACTGTAGTGGGTAGCTGTTCTAGCTTTGACTTGGAAGTACTATCCTTAGTGAGGCTTCCGGTAACTGTCACACCTACCTATGACCTGCACCTGGGGCAGGGCCGAGATGGGAGCCCTTAAGACTGGAGATCCAGGTATGTCCGAGCTCTTGGTTCCTCGTGATCCTGGATGCTGGAAGACAGACTGAGTCAGAGTTCTCCAGAGAACCCAGCTGGACTGCACCTCACCTCTCCCAGATCCTGTAACCAACCCCTGTACTGGCAGAAGGTTACCCCAAAATAATCCTCCTTTGTAACTAAGTGGAGTAGCCTTGATAAATACCCACATTAGTGAAGAGACAATACATGCAAGAAAATTCACTTTAAAAATTTCCTCTGTGTGTGTGTGTGTGTGCACGTGCACATGAATCTGTGTCCTGTGGTGCTCTTGTGAATGCCAGACAACAACTTGCAGGAGTCCATTTTCCCATCCATCATGTGCACCCTGGGTTTGAACTCAGGCCCCCAGGCTTGGAAGGAGGCACCTCCCTATTTTCTAACTATGCAGTTCTTAAGATCCCTGGAAGCTCTTAGGTGGGGAGCTTCTGGGAGTTTTAAAAGAATGTCATTACCTCACCACTCAGAGGTGCTCTGAACCCTAATAGAGAGGAAGTGTTGAGTGCATTTTTGGGTAGCAAACCACGTGCAAGGCACTGTTTGTCTAGTTCTGGGGGTTAGATCAGGGGATGGAAACCACAGCTGGTCCACCCAACCCCACATGCATTAGGCCTTTCCCTTCCTGTTTTCCCACGAGAGAGTTTAATTCATGAATCCATCACAGTGAGAGACTAGCAACTGGCAAAGACAGGATTATATCACTGAATTCTGCAAACTAAACTAAGAAATACAGTCACCGGATCCTTCAGATACTGCCAAGGTGAGAATGATGCCTGAATCAGCCCTAAGTGACTAGGAAGTGTGTAGTATACCCTGGAATGGATACCCTGGAGAAGGTGAGGACTCATGTACTGGGTGGAAGGCAGCAGAGTGATAGGGGTTTTCACACATGAGAAACAGAACACAGAAATTCTCACAGCCCCAACTGATTGCTTCTGGCATTAAAAAATTTCTGTTTGTTTTGTTTTTTATTTTTGAGACCTGGTTTCTCTGGGTAACAGCCCTAACTGTCCTGGAACATGTTTAGTAGATGAGGTCAGGCTGTAACTCACAGAGATCCACCAGCCTCTGCCTCCCAAATGCTGGGATTAAAGACATGCACCATCAATGCCACCTGGCTGCTTCTGGCATTAAAACTTGATGTTTTCAGATCATGGTTAATAGTTGAATAAGTGCATCAAGGGACAAAGAATAGCCAGTGAATAAATACATCAAAAATAAATGTAAAGTCAGTAGGGGATCCAGTCCAGAGCATTCCCACACTGAGAAATCACAATCCTAGAGCCAGCAAAGGGCCTGAGAAGTAGGAGTGTGTGGAGGATGAGGCTGGGCTAGAGCAGACTCTAGAGTAAGAAATGGTTCACTTTGTCAAGGGCCTGTTAGGGACAAGAGAGATTGGTCGGCTTGGTTTTGAATTTTACCCCCGAAATATCCAGGTGGTTATGTGTAAAGGAGGGTATATGCACAGGCTATGTGTAGGTGAGGATGTAGGCACAGACTATGTGTAGATGAGGATTACAAAATGGTATGTGTAGGTGAGTGTGTAAACAGTGGTTATGTATAGGTGAAGATGTAGGTCCTGGCTAAGTATAGGTGAGGACATAGACCCTATTAAGAATGCCATGATGATTTTTTTACCAATATATAAACAATTTCCCCACAGAGACAGCATATGAGAGTAAACAAAGACAATCATTGTGCACTGAAATCATTTAATGGCTATTTGTAGTTTTTCATAATGTGCTCAGTTTTGCTAATACAAGCTCATCTGTCTCAGAGTTAATTGATATGCATGAAGCTACTTTAAAAAAGTTAAGGGCTAGCATAGAGACTAATCTGTCCTGACTACATCATGATCAGCTAGAGGCCTGGGAACATTCTCTCAAGGATTAAAACAGACTAACACATGAGTTGAGAATTTAATTTCAAGGAGTATAAATGGGCCAGCTCTAAGAAAATACTTTTTTGAAAGGTCACACATTTCATGACAAATTTCTGAGTTGAAGCAGTCTCAGTTATATCCACTCAGAATTCTGTTCCCTTAATATCCCACCTTATCTCTCAGAGTACCTGTTCTTTACTGTCTCAATGCTGAGCCCACACAAGGCTTGGGAGCTCACACAGCTGCCATCTTACCCAAGATCTACTGTCTCCTTATATATTTGCTGTATGTCTATCCAACAGTGGGGAGATGAATATTAGTTCCAATGAAACTTAATGTGAATTACTTCATAGGTGAAGAACTGATGTACAGAGATGTGTGTGACACTCAATGCTAGATCACTGTCACCAGCATCTGCCCCATTGGCTAACTGAAAAATGGAGGCTTTCCATAAAACAGTGAACACATTAGTCAGTACTAAGCCTCTTAGGAAACAGTCTCCATGTTGCTCCTGTTTCTGATATAAGCCTGCTTGTCTGAAGGGGAAACCAAGGAAATGTGACCTTTCCTATAACTACTTCTATAGTGAGAAAGAGACAGAGTGAGCTGAGATGGAGGCACACAGCAGTTAGACTCCACAGTCTTTAATGTACTGGGTGAGATCTTCTTTTTGACAATGTCTTGTCCAAGCCGACCTGTGGAGGAAAATGAGACAGGGGGAAATGGTTAGAACTGTGTCCTCTGTCACACACATTCTCAAACCTGTGAGGGGAAATAGTATAACAGTGACACTCATGGAGACTGTGTTCTGGGCCAAGATCTAGTGTGAAACCCAGGCTGTAGCTGCACCCAGAACCTACAGCTGACTGATGGAGCTGTGTCTATAAGCCATTTGATCCTCTCCAAACCCTGGGTAGAGCACAGGATCCTCAATGTCACTGTGACATCACAGGCACAGAACTGTTAACTGATGATACAAATAGTCTGGGGGCCTAACAAGGAAGCAGTCGTGTGTGGGAATTCTCACAATCTGGAGAAATTCTCTAAACTTAATGATGGAGTGAAAGGCCCCAGCTGTACCCACAGTGCTCAGAATAACACTTGGGTCTTAGAAAGACTCAACACACATATCAACAGAACCAGCATTTCCCCCTTCCAGAGTTCCAACATACCATACTTTCATGCCTTCTGGACTTTTCACAATTATCTTTGCACATTGTATGGCTTGAGTGATGTCATCCTGGAGCAAAGCTGAAAGACAGGGGTGAGGAAGGACAAGAACTGTTACAAAGCCATTTTCAGTTCAGATCCAGTCAGCTTTCTTCTGTGACTCTGAGCAGTGCATGCAGGAAATTATTTTGCAGGTGTCCCTGCATCTGTGATTATTGGAGACAGCCTCTCTTGATTCTATGCAGGTGACATGGTGTAAGTCATTTTATTTTTCATTTATAAAGAGCCTGGGGGGGTTGGGATATACTTGAGTGTAGAGTGTTCTTAGGATTCCAGCACAGATAAAAAATAAAGAACACATTGAAGTCATGAGGGGTCACTGAAGTCTGTGGGACTGTCAGTACCATGAGGGAAGTTCCTCTTTGTTTTCACACTAAAAAATAGAACACGCCAGAAATGTCACCTGGGTCTACCAGTGGAATTTATCCTAAAGTAAAACAGGGGCTGGACACATGGTTCAGTGACTAAGAGCACTGGATGCTCTTCCAAAGAACTTGATTCCCAGCATCCACGTTACAGCTCTCAACTGTCTGTAACCCCAGTTCCAGATGAAGCCCTCTTCTGGCTTCCACAGGTACCAGGCATGCACGTAGTACACAGTCCTCTATGCAGGCAGAACACCCACACACATAGAGATAAATGAATACTTTAAGAAAGAAAACAATGCACAAGTCTTGTGGGAATAAATTTCTTCCTGGAAATTTATAATCGGTAACATGGAAGCAGCCAGGTACTTTGAGACTCAAGATTTAAGAGTGGTATTTTCAACATACAGAGAATTGTTACTATAATTTTATTCACTCTTTAAAATGAGAATTCAGGTAATGTCATTAGTATTGATGTAGTTTTGAGTAATAACCATATCATGAAGCTGTGCAAGTATAATTTAATTTGTGTAAAAATGTAAAATCTATACATTTTATGGGAGTACATATGTGGATGATATAACTTTACTAGACCTACAGCATAGATTCACAGTCTAGAAGAGTATTTTCCAAAGTTTCCAGTTACATCCACTCTCTGAGCACTCACATTGGGAGTGATGCTCCTCTTTGCTTGTCGTTTCTAATACCTTTCAATGACTGCAGATGGGTGTACACAATGGTTTTAATGATAAGCTAAGCAGGCTACAAAGAGTGTTCCACCATCTTTTCTCTTCTGAAAAATTTTCACCAACAAATTTAACAAATTAGGAATTAATAGTTCACTGTTTAGAGTGCTTGACTAAAATGTAGCAAGTCTTGGGTTCAATTCCCACACTGGGAAAATAGAACACCATTGACCAATTTAATTCATGCACTAAAAATTACGTATTACTTCTCTCGCCACATGAGCGCAAGTTCTCCCATCCCAGACCACAATCCTGAACCTTGTTTGTTTGTTTCTTGTTAAAAAGAATTTTCATCTTAAATACATGAATCTGTGTTATTTTGTTAGATCAGATAATTTCAACCTAAGAATTATACCATTTGGACATGCAAACTAAGGAGTTTAAAAACAGAACTTGATGTTAGTAATTCACTCTAAAATCCCTCAACACAAAAAACACATTGTAGGTGGAAGTTTCTGTTCCACCAACAACTCCCAAATACCCAGCAGTCACTTCCCAAATTACCACACAGAAGATTATATTAATTATAAATGCTCAGCCATAAGCTCAGGCTTATTACTGACCAGGTCTTACACTTAAGTCAATCCATCATTCTTATCTATGTTTAGCCATGTGTCTTGGTACTTTTTCTCAGTTCTGCCTTGTCATCTTGCTTCCTCTGTATTCTTCTGGTGACTCCTGACTCTGCCCTTCCTCTTCCCAGAATTCTCCTAGTCTGTTCACCCCATCTATACTTCCTGCCTGGCTACGGGCCAATCAATATTTTATTAAACCAATACCAGTGACAAATATTTACAGTGTAGAAGAGCATTATCCCAAAGCAGTACGTCAATACATGCACATAGAAGCCAGTTGGACAAAATGGCAGTTGTTTAGTGGTACCTTGTTATATAGACTTTATTATAGTAACATATTCATTTGTATATGTTAGAAATCTTTGTAATAAAATCCATTCAGTCATAAATGACCCTATGGCAATTTCCATAACTACTCTTAAGTAAACAGCTAGAATGCAAATCTCTAGGACAAAACACCAGTAAGACCACTTACAATTAATTAGTATATATTCCAGACATTTTCATATGTTATAAAATGACAATTAGTCAAAAATGTTTATTTTCCTTAATTTCAATTATGTATCTGTGTATGGGTGAGTGCATGTGAGTATAGGTTAAAAAATCCCACCAAGTTTTAATGATACCAGGTCTTTATTTTAAATTTTCTATTAATTTAACAAGTGTGTCTGTGTGTGCTGGTATATGCACCAGTGAACGTGCACATACATGTATGTGTATGTAGAAGTCAGAGGACACCCCAGGAGCTGTTCCCTAGAAGCAGACCACATTGTTTTTGATACTAGGTCTGCCATCAGAACTGGCTTGTAGATTAGCCTCTGCTGGTTAGCCAGTGAGCCCCATTGATCTGTCGTCTCAGAATCCCTACTGCTGATCTTACGAATGCATGTCACCAAATTCAGCTTTTATGTGGGTGCTGAGGGTCAAACCTTGGCATTGAGGACTCTTCTGTCTGAGCTACCTGGCCAGCCTCTGTTTATTTTGTTTATTCATTTAGGATTTTGGAGGTGGAACCTAGGGCCCTCTGATTGTTAGGCAAGGCATTCTATTGCCAAGCCATGCTCTAATCCTAATGTCTTCCTTGGCTAATGTTGATGTGAATAACAATGACTTTCTAACAGTCCAGTCTCCCCAGGTTCCTCATGCTTCCTTCAGTGATGTCTCCTGCACAGAATCTCTGCTCTTGCACATGAGAGCAGTTGGGTTGTTTGCTATCCCTCTGACCCAGCCTTGTCTTACCACTGCAGGGCATCCCACACTTATTTGGCAGTTTCGGCGTTTTGCCATCATCACACCAATGTTCACCACTGATCTGAAATATCCCATAGACGGTGACTCGGGCTCCAAAGTTCTTTGTAAGCTTTGTGTTTAAGTGACTTTCATGCTGAGCCAAACACACCCCTAAAAAGAAAAAAATATATTCATCAATAAGCAGCAACAGCAAATGATTTAAATTAGAAACCAAAATTAGCTCTTGGATCTGGCTGTATTTCACAAGTGATTTTTGTTATAAGTACAATCATATGATTAAATTATAAAATATGCTCCCACTAGTTCACGCTGGGTTTGGCTGTGTTTCCCAGTGTAGTCTCTGGTCTTAATCAATCCTCCTGACTCTGCCTTTCAAGTAGGTCAATTTGATGTACTCAGTCAGCAAGTGAAAATCTTCAAGAGCCCTAAAGAGAATCTATTTGAGGACAAATCAGTTTGCACTGAGAATAAACGAGATAAGGTCATTTTAAAACACTCAATAGATGGACTGGTCACAGTGGTGCTCTCTTTTATTCCCAGCAGTCCATAAGCAGAGGCCAGAGAATCTGTGTGGGTTTGAGACCAGCCTGGTGACATAGCAAGTTCCAGGCTGGGCCGAGCTATACACTGAAACCATGGCCCCTACTCCCCAAAATAAAATAGCTGTTTCTTCCACTGCTTTTCCCTCCCTCACCTATTCTGGAGATACCTCTGCCTAAAATAGAAACACAAACAGTAGTTAGGTGGATTTTATAAATTAATATCAAATACACATGCTAATAAAACGTTCCTATTAGAAGAATAAGGATTTCCTCAGAGATATGTTCTTATAACCAATGTGAATTTGTATGTTAAGTTAGAATTCTTTTTCTTCTCTGTGTGACTATGGATACAACTTTGGCACAGAACGTGCAATCTCTTACTTGGATTTCAGGAATGTGTACCATCACAAATGACTGATAAGAATATTGAAATTGAGAATATTAGAACAGGAAAGGCTATTCTGCAAATTCATCCATCCATCCATCCATCCATCCATCCATCCATCCATCCATCCATCCACACATATATTATCTACTCACTCATTCATGGACAAATATTGAGTAGGAACTGCCTTAATCGAATCTGATAAGCACACTAGTTACAAGGACACAAATGGCGTAGGCCATGAACAACTTTTTTCATCCACCTCTTCCATTATGAAAAAAGAAAGACCTTCCCAGAGTGAAGAATTGTATCAAGTCACTTCATACTCAGTTTCAGAAGACCTCACTTCAGCAGCAAGTAGGGGTAAATAGGATCCCTCTGCCCTGCATAGAAAGTTCAAAAGGTTTGAAAGTTTTTCTCTCTAAAGGTCCATACCATGGTCAGAGAAATGAAGACAGATCCCAGTCACCCCAGGCTCTCAGAACCCAAGTTCTGAATGAGTGAGTCCTCCCATCTTTTCTCACCCCCTGTGGGCTATTGAGTCTGAAACTGGAAAACCTAGTGACCCTCCAAGAACACCTCAGGTCCTATTGTCTTAGCCTGGGAAGATGTCCCCTCCCATGCCCTCACTTCAGTATCTCTGATGAAAAAGATGAACGCTGATGTTTTTAATCAAACTAGTCAAACACGCAGGAATCATGAAAGCTTATTGACCCCAGCTCCCTCTCTGCTCACTGATTGCTTCCTTGTACCTGTTCTGCAGAGGGTTATTATCTGGAGGGGTCAAGAAGAGGAGACTTACAGTTGGCCAGGCTGATTCCCTCGAAGTCATTCATTCCATGTTTTTTCATAACTCTGGCGAACTCACATTGCTCAAAGACCTTGGCCTGGACACTGACAGAAAGCAGGAGGAGCCCCAGAGAGAGGAGAGCCTTCATGTTGACCTGGAAATCAACTTAGCAGCTGCCCAGAGCAGCCAGGCCCCAGTATTTAAGCATCTTCTCCTCCCTTCATCCTCTAGCAGTTTGGGGGCTCTACCTTTTGAGCTTAGTGCCAAGCAGGAAGTTCTTATTGATCCACAAACTTGAAAACCATTTTTATGTTTTCCCAATGTTTAAACAGAGACATTCTGTTCCATAGAGAATGATGAAATGATACCGTTTAAAGACTTGGCTCACATGGAACCAGGAGATAGCACTCTTCCTAAAACAGGGAGCTCATTTTATTTTATCTTGGATATGACCAGTATAAAGAAAAACAAAGTGGTTATGTTTTACTGCTTAAAATAAAGTATGACTATAAATCAATAGTCTTTTAAAATTAAATTGTTTTGTGTGTAAACCTTTACCACTTTGTATTATCTTTTTTACTTAAAATTATCTTGCAGGGCTGGAGAGATGGCTCAGAGGTTCAGAGCACTGGCTGCTCCTCCAGAGGACCCGGGTTCAATTCCCAGCACCTATACTACAACTGTTTATAACTCCAGTACTAGGGGATCTGGGACCCTCACAAGCCATACATGTAGGCAAAACATTAATGCACATAAAATAAAAATAGAATGAAAGTATCTTGCATAGAACTTCCCACAAAATGAATCTTGTAGTTGCGATATGTCATTGCTTCATCATCTTCCTTTTCTAGATGTTCTTGATAGTATTATAAATTTTGTATTTTTGCAAAAGACCCCAGTTGTGGGTCTCTTTTTCTGAGAGAAGGTTTCACTGTGAACTCTGGCTGGTCGGGAAATTGCTCTGTAGACTAGGATGTCCTTAAACTCTTCTGCCTCCTGAGTGTTGGGATTAAAGACATGTGCTACCATTCCCACCAGCGAAAATTTTTTCCCTCTTTTAAGTTACTCACTTACATCATCTCCTAACATAAGCAGAAGAATAGAAGACCAATATCCTGGTCATCATTTGATATAAGGAACAGTGACTTTAAAACCCTCAGGCTTTCCTGTCCACATTCAGAGTAATAGTTCAAATTAGTGCTGTGTGTATCGAGGCTTTTTTTGGACATTCTTTGGATTGACAGCCCCCAAATAATGACACAGAGACCTATTCTTAATTGTGAGAGCTTGGCCTTTAGCTTAGGATTGTTCCCAACTAGCTCTTATAACATAAATTAACCTGTTTCTATTAGTCTATTTTCTGCCACTTTATCTCTTCTCTGTATGTCTAATTCACTCTGTCTCAATGGCTTCTCCTGCCAGGCTAGATACTAATCCTGAACTCCTCTCTCTGCCCAGAAGTCCTGTCTCTTCTCTCCTGCCTGGTCATTGGCCATTCAGCTCTTTATTAAGCCATTCGGGTGCCTTATGCAGGTGAGGAAAATTATAGACACATCTCCTCCCCAGGGAAAGACTTGGTCCAGATGCAGAGATGGAAGCAGTGATTAACCTGCATCCCTTGTGTTCTTAACAGTGTCACTTGAGGAAAACCTTTAGCATGCTAATTACTGAGGCCAGTGTGAGAAAATAAGTGAGGACTTTCCATATCAGAGCTGAGGGCTCCCTTTTTGAGTGGTGTTCAAGACCCACCCAAAAGTCACGAAACCCAGGTACTATCACCACCATTTTGGGTCTGGACCTGTGTGGTGGTTTGAAAGGAAATGGCCCCCAAAGGGAGTGGCATTATTGGAAAATGTGGCTTTGTTGGAGGAAGTGTGTCACTGTGGGAGTGGGCTTTGATGTCTCCTAGGCTCAAGTTACTCCCAGTGAGACAGTCTACTCCTGTTGCCTGCATATCCAGATGTAGCCAGCACCATGTCTGTCTGCATGCCGCCATGTTCCCCACCCTGGTGATAATGGATTGATCCTCTGAAAAAGTAAGCCACACCAATTCATGTTTTTCTTTTGTGAGAGTTACCTTGGCCATAGTGTCTCTGCACAGCAATTGAAACCCTAGCTAAGACAACCCATAAATCAATTTTTTTTTTTTTTTGGTTTTTCGAGACAGGGTTTCTCTGTGTAGCTTTGTGCCTTTCCTGGAACTCGCTTTGGAGACCAGGCTGGCCTCGAACTCACAGAGATCTGCCTGGCTCTGCCTCCCGAGTGCTGGGATTAAAGGAGTGCACCACCACCGCCTGGCAATATTTCAAGTATTAATAAAACTCATGTGGACAACTTTCCTAGTATCTTTCACAAAGGTCTTATTTTTGACTCTGCCAACCCATTTCCATGTTAGAGCATCAAAGGTCACAAGGAAGTAACAGGACTTTAAAAATAAAATTGACCCAAAGCAGCATGCCCAGGATTGGCCTAGGAAGGAAGCTCTCATTTGTACAAAATGCCAACATGACACTCAACTCTATCCATCAAAGGGAGTTCCTGTCTGATTGGCCCAAGAGAGTGCCAGTTTTGTCTCCAAGTCATTGTTTGAGCATCCTATTCAAAACAAGAACAATGCCACTTTTTGTCAGTTAATATTGATTCTTTAATAATACAGACTGAGATGGATTTTGGGGAATCCAAAATGACAGAAACCAGAAAAGGTCACTAGATGTCTCCTTTGTGTCCTTCCTAACCCAATGATCCAGAATGTATGGTTGTTACCTGTACAACTTTGTGCATTTTGTTGACAAATCAATTTTTCATTACAAACATTTGAACAGTTATGAACTTGTCCTTTTTGGGCAGTTGAATAGGCAAATAGTTACTCATCATCCAGAGCTAAACCACTCTCAATGATTCAATGTGACTACTCCAAAGGCAATGGGGCGGTTTCAATCTCAAAATTATTTCTCCTGGTTCAGGAGTTAGAAGCAGTAACAGTTTCTAATTATAATTTTGTTTCATTTGACATAGTGAGCAAGTGCCTTAAAAATAAAACAGCAAGCACACATAATTGTGGGCAGAGATTTTACTCTCCCTTTGTAGAAAATATGCATTTTTGCCACTTTTCTAGGTTGTTTACAGATCCCAGATATTTTTGCTGTATTACAATGGAAAAGAATGCACAATATTTTCATAATTATATACTCATCTTGTTTCCAAGGATAAAGGGATTAATTTTGATGCATATTGTGTGCTTTATATCTATGAAGAGGGATGTTGACTGTGAGTCTGTCAAATATTTGCCTGGGGCCCCCAGAGTGGAAACAAACTTGCAGGCCAAAGCTTTGCCACAGTACACCACACTCTACAGAATGGACTTGGAATCTGTGTTTGAAGAAGTGCCTCTATGGTTAACTAGTGCTGGGATTAAAAGCATGTGCCACCACCCTTGGCTCTGTTCCCAGTGTGGTCTTGAACTCACAGAGATCCAGATGAATCTCTGCCTCCTGAATGCTAGGATTTAAGGCTTGTGCTACCACTGCCTGACCTTCATGTTTAATACAGTGGCTGACTTGTCCTCTGATCCTCAGGCAAGCTTTATTGTTAGAGCACAAATAAAACATCACCGCACCCATGAGTCTGCATGCAAGATCCCTTAGTCAGGACACTAAGGATTACAGCTCCTCTACAAACTCTAAAAATTTCTGTATTTGTTGCTGCTCTACCTTAACTCTCCTGCTTTCAAAATATCTCCAAGCCAATGCACAAATGACTGTCTATTGAAACTCTGCCCCATATTTACAATTTTACTGCTGAGTTTTCTCACTGCACTTGTACTTTTGACACCCAGAGTATTCCCTTCGTCTTCTCTTCATCTTCAATGTTCCATCACTGGATTCCCCTGTATTCAGAGAGTCACATGTTCAGGAAACTATTTGTCAAGTCCTGCTCTGTAGGATAGCTTATCCCTAACAGGCTTGAGGGCCAGCTGGCCTAAACAAGTAAAAAAAAGATACTTTTGCCAGGCGGTGGTTGCACACACCATTATTCCCAGAACTCGGGAGGCAGAGGCAGGTGGATCTGTTGAATTCAAGCCTAACCTGGGCTACAGAGTGAGTTCCAGGAAAGGTGCAAGGCTACACAGAGAAACCCTGTCTCGAAAAACCAAAAAAAAAAAAAAAAAAAAAAAAAGAAAAGAAAAAAACAAAATTTCTGAGAGCCAACCTGGGTCTGCCTAAGGGCCTTAGCAACAGCAGCTGAAACATCATCTGGAGATGACCTCGACCAATGAGAGGCAGCCTTATCAAACCAGATGCATATTCATCAGACTTCCCCCCAAGGTGGGGTAGAGGGTATAAAAGGCTTGCCTTTTCTTGAATAAACTGAGTTTGTTGTTTTGACATTCTCCCACAGTCTGTGTTGTTGACTCTGCACCTACTTGGCCCCCTCCCCCAAAGGGAACAACAGCACAGGACCCTGCTACACTCCTCAACTGGTTGGACAGTTCTAAAGGGGGGAGTGTGGAATTGGGAAGTGATAGCTATGAAATAGAGGCATAGATGAAGAAAAAGACAGAGACACAAGATGGCTTTGGGAGGTTTCTGGGTCAATACTACAAACAGGAGTTTTATTACTCACAGCCTGTAAATATATGAAACAAGAGGAGGGGTGACAAGACCTCTTCCTTTCAAGGACATCGCGGTTCAAGGTACAAAGTACAGCTAACTGTAATCACCTCCTTAGTACTAAAGACATCAGGTGACCATGCCTTATGGCAGAGCACCCTGTAATTAGGCTTTGAAGTATAAGACACCTGGTCACCACACGTTTGGCCAAAGCATCCTATTATGCAGCCTTGGTGAGGGGGCTGTAAAACAAGCTCAGACTCTCTGACCTCGAGTCAAGATGAAAACAAGACATAATCTAGGGTCTCTATGGGTACCCACATTAAATGACTTCTTAGCCTTCTAACCTGCCCTGGTGTCCAAGGGTGGCCATGCTTACTGAATCCAGAATCTCTTAGTGTTTTCCAGGTTGTAGGGCAAGATTCAGACTACCTTTCCTGGATTCTTATACAGACAGACAGGGAATGATAGAGCTGGGCAGAAAGAGGAAGTGATGTAGCTGGGTGGAGAGAGGAAGTAAGATGGCAGGGCACAGAGA